TCGACAAAAAAGCCCACGAACAACCCTCCCGGGACCAAAGCATTGGCCACAGACCCTATAAACGTCCTAACTATTTCTTCCGATGCAAACGCACGATGAAACGCTGAAAAGCAGGATATCACATGAAATTGCCGGGGATGTATTTCCGTGATCTTTTGCATTAAATCAGGTGAGAAGGCGTCCTCGCAGATAACGTTGTATCTCATATCCCCGCTAAGTTCCTTTGTTGCAGGATTCTTAATCAAGTTTTCGATTTTTTTGACAGCTTCGGGATTGCAGTCGACTCCTAAATACCGCATCGTGCCGTTTTTCATCCACTTTCGCACAACTGATCCACCGCAGCACAGATCTAGGACGTCATTTGTCGCCCACTTCAAACTAATCGCGTCAACGAGAAGGGAAACACACCGAGTGATAACCTGGCGAGTGAAAGTGGCGTCGGGTGGTGGGGGGACATGGTACCCGATTTCGGCGTTCTGGTTGACGGCAGAAAAACTATCCCAGCAATTCTTACAATAAAACAAGCCACTGGAACCATCAAACATACCCAGAGCGCACGTTCTTCCGCAATGGATGCAATCGCCGTGACCAGTTTCTTTCCAGCAGTCGGTACACCAAAATACGTCTTTTCCCTGTAATTCATTAACCATGCCACTTTCATTGAGTTTTCCGCATCGGCCACAGAAGTAGGAAGACGATCCGAGAAGCCATATGACTTCTTTTTCCGAAGCGACCGGACTGAAAACAATTTCGTCCACATCAGAATGAAGAGAAACATTCTTTGTTCCAGATTCAAATACACGAACGGCATCCCACCAGTGTGTGTTTTCGCCCCTTCTCACAACGCATTCAATAACATCATTGTCCTTAATGCTGGGAAACGCCGAGGAAAAAAACTCGGTGTACTCGTTTTCATAGGGGGCACATTCTAACGAGTTTTCATCAGTCCTGGCGTTGAGATATACTCTTTTGATATCTGGGTTTTCGCCTGTGGAAATATTCGTTACAGCGAAGAACGCAGACACGGATGACGGCGGGGTCCAATAATAGGTGAAGGACTTTTTGTCTCCGTACACATTGGGCACAAACACCAAGCCAAGAGAGCTGTAGTCGCTGCAGGGAAAAAGAGAGTTAAGGTTGGTCAATTCCGAGGGCGTCACGCTTTCAGAGCTGATGTACTTGGCTCGAAGAATAACAAAGTGGTCGGTAGTGGGGTGCGGCCAGAGGTCATCTTCGTCGATGCCAACAGACTCCACGGAGCGCCAACGCTCGGCGAACGGGAGACTCCTCATGTCATTTCCTTGAAAGAATAAGACATCCTCAATGATGGCTCGGCGCTCGTTGATTCCCCAGTATGATGAGGTAATGGTGCCTATAAAAATACAGTCCTTGGGAGTGTCCTTAGGGGAAACGCCTCCAAAATTATTAGGGAGCCCAAAAACAGAATTGGTATCTTTGTCGAAGCCAAATGTGTCGCCGTTGCAGTCGGTGCCGATTATAACACGCACACCCGAAACTTTCCTACGAATCGCGTACTTTCCGTGGGAAAAAAACGCCGCCGCGTCCGCAAAATTTTTACGATTTAACAAAATGTCGGAAGGTACCGAGTCACCCTGTGATAAGGCGATGGTTTCAATTGCCGCCAACTGCGTTACTCCGATCACGGGCTTTCTTAATTTTTGAGGTACACTTCCAAAACATGTGTTGCTGACATTCAGCACCTGGTCAGAGGCTAGAATTGTTTCAACGTCTGCATTTATATAAAATGGGTTTGTCGGATTCGACGCTAAAAGCTTTTTGATACCGCTAGCGGAGTCCGGCTCACTGAAGGAAACACCGATGACGCAAGAACCGGTGTTGTCACAGATCAACCCTATATCATAAATCATGTCCCACACGGGGTAACTTCCCGCACAATTTTTTTCAGTTTGCAAATTAACGTGGAACAAAAATGATCTGGCCCATTTAACTGAACCACTCAAACTTTTAGATAGATCCTCTTCAAACTTTCGAACTTCCTTAAAATTCTGTTCGATATTCGAACTGCTGTACTTGATAGTGGTGCTAAAATCAAACGGATGGGTCTCCATTTTCGACTTTGCTGATTCCCCAACGGAAATAATTATGGTCAACGGACACAATGGGCCGCAGGCATAAGGGAGAATAGAATTTATCTTGAAAATACTGTGGAAGGCCATCTGAATATTCCTTAATTCGCCCGACACCAAAAGACCCGAAACGGCTTCGTCACTATCGCAGCACCCAAAAAAGTAATGGCGATATGAACCGGTTTCCTTATCTCCTATTAACGATCGGGTGTAGCCGGTGCATTTGACAAAATCGTGCGGACTCATTGATTGGTAAAATGAAGCCCAAAATCGGTGCAAGCAATACACCACTTCGAGGTTATCTTCCGGAAGATCTACGTGAACTAAAAACCCAGATGCGTCGTTCATTAACATGAGAGCTCCACTTTCCTTTAAAGAGAGCATTTCTTTAC